CCCTGAGACTCTTTGGCTGTCTCCCTGAGACTCTTTGGGCTGTCTCCCTGAGACTCTTTGGGCTGTCTCCCTGAGACTCTTTGGGCTGTCTCCCTGAGACTCTTTGGCTGTCTCCCTGAGACTCTTTGGGCTGTCTCACTGTGAGACTCTTTGGCTGTCTCCCTGAGACTCTTTGGCTGTCTCCCTGAGACTCTTTGGCTGTCTCCCTGAAACTCTTTGGCTGTCTCCCTGTGACTCTTTGGCTGTCTGCCTGAGACTCTTTGGCTGTCTCCCTGAGACTCTTTGGGCTGTCTCACTGTGAGTCTTTGGCTGTCTCCCTGAAACTCTTTGGCTGTCTCCCTGAGACTCTTTGGCTGTCTCCCTGAAACTCTTTGGCTGTCTCCCTGTGACTCTTTGGCTGTCTCGCCTGAGACTCTTTGGGCTGCCTCCTTGAGACTCTTTGGGCTGTCTCCCTGAGACTCTTTGGGCTGTCTCCCTGAGACTCTTTGGCTGTCTCCCTGAGACTCTTTGGCTGTCTCCCTGAGACTCTTTGGCTGTGTCCCTGTGAGTCTTTGGCTGTCTCCCTGAGACTCTTTGGCTGTCTCCCTGAGACTCTTTGGGCTGTCTCCCTGAGACTCTTTGGCTGTCTCCCTGAGACTCTTTGGCTGTCTCCCTGAGACTCTTTGGGCTGTCTCCCTGAGACTCTTTCGCTGTCTCCTTGAGACTCTTTGGCTGTCTCCCTGAGAATCTTTGGCTGTCTCCCTGAGATTCTTTGGCTGTGTCCCTGTGAGTCTTTGGCTGTCTCCCTGAGACTCTTTGGCTGTCTCCCTGAGACTCTTTGGGCTGTCTCCCTGAGACTCTTTGGGCTGTCTCCCTGAGACTCTTTGGGCTGTCTCCCTGAGACTCTTTGGCTGTCTCCCTGAGACTCTTTGGGCTGTCTCACTGTGAGTCTTTGGCTGTCTCCCTGAAACTCTTTGGCTGTCTCCCTGAGACTCTTTGGCTGTCTCCCTGAAACTCTTTGGCTGTCTCCCTGTGACTCTTTGGCTGTCTGCCTGAGACTCTTTGGCTGTCCCCCTTGAGACTCTTTGGGCTGTCTCCCTGAGACTCTTTGGCTGTCTCGCTGAGACTCTTTGGCTGTCTCCCTGTGACTCTTTGGGCTGTCTCCCTGAGACTCTTTGGGCTGTCTCCCTGAGACTCTTTGGCTGTCTCCCTGAGACTCTTTGGGCTGTCTCACTGTGAGTCTTTGGCTGTCTCCCTGAAACTCTTTGGCTGTCTCCCTGAGACTCTTTGGCTGTCTCCCTGAAACTCTTTGGCTGTCTCCCTGTGACTCTTTGGCTGTCTCGCCTGAGACTCTTTGGGCTGCCTCCTTGAGACTCTTTGGGCTGTCTCCCTGAGACTCTTTGGGCTGTCTCCCTGAGACTCTTTGGCTGTCTCCCTGAGACTCTTTGGCTGTCTCCCTGAGGCTCTTTGGCTGTGTCCCTGTGAGTCTTTGGCTGTCTCCCTGAGACTCTTTGGCTGTCTCCCTGAGACTCTTTGGGCTGTCTCCCTGAGACTCTTTGGCTGTCTCCCTGAGACTCTTTGGCTGTCTCCCTGAGACTCTTTGGGCTGTCTCCCTGAGACTCTTTCGCTGTCTCCTTGAGACTCTTTGGCTGTCTCCCTGAGAATCTTTGGCTGTCTCCCTGAGATTCTTTGGCTGTGTCCCTGTGAGTCTTTGGCTGTCTCCCTGAGACTCTTTGGCTGTCTCCCTGAGACTCTTTGGGCTGTCTCCTTGAGAATCTTTGGCTGTGTCCCTGTGGCTCTTTGGGCTGTCTCCATGACACTCTTTGGCTGTCTCCCTGTGACTCTTTGGCTGTCTCCCTGATACTCTTTAGCTGTCTCCCTGAGACTCTTTTGGCTGTTTCCCTGAGACTCTTTTGGCTGTCTCCCTGTAACTCTTTGGCTGTCTCCCTGTGACTCTTTGGGCTGTCTCCCTGAGACTCTTTGGCTGTCTCCCTGAGACTCTTTGGCTGTCTCCCTGAGACTCTTTGCGCTGTCTCACTGTGAGTCTTTGGCTGTCTCCCTGAAACTCTTTGGCTGTCTCCCTGTGACTCTTTGGCTGTCTCCCTGAGACTCTTTGGGCTGCCTCCTTGAGACTCTCTGGGCTGTCTCCCTGAGACTCTTTGGGCTGTCTCCCTGAGACTCTTTGGCTGTCTCCCTGAGACTCTTTGGCTGTCTCCCTGAGACTCTTTGGCTGTGTCCCTGTGAGTTTTTGGCTGTCTCCCTGAGACTCTTTGGCTGTCTCCCTGAGACTCTTTGGGCTGTCTTCCTGAGACTCTTTGGCTGTCTCCCTGAGACTCTTTGGCTGTCTCCCTGAGACTCTTTGGGCTGTCTCCCTGAGACTCTTTCGCTGTCTCCTTGAGACTCTTTGGCTGTCTCCCTGAGAATCTTTGGCTGTCTCCCTGAGATTCTTTGGCTGTGTCCCTGTGAGTCTTTGGCTGTCTCCCTGAGACTCTTTGGCTGTCTCCCTGAGACTCTTTGGCTGTCTCCCTGAGACTCCTTGGGCTGTCTCCCTGAGACTCTTTGGGCTGTCTCCCTGAGACTCTTTGGCTGTCTCCCTGAGACTCTTTGGGCTGTCTCCTTGATAATCTTTGGCTGTGTCCCTGTGGCTCTTTGGGCTGTCTCCATGACACTCTTTGGCTGTCTCCCTGTGACTCTTTGGCTGTCTCCCTGATACTCTTTAGCTGTCTCCCTGAGACTCTTTTGGCTGTTTCCCTGAGACTCTTTTGGCTGTCTCCCTGAGACTCTTTGGCTGTCTCCTTGAGACTCTTTGGGCTGTCTCCCTGAGACTCTTTCGCTGTCTCCTTGAGACTCTTTGGCTGTCTCCCTGAGACTCTTTGGGCTGTCTCCCTGAGACTCTTTGGCTGTCTCCCTGAGACTCTTTGGGCTGTCCCCCTGAGACTCTTTGGGCTGTCTCCCTGAGACTCTTTGGGCTGTCTCCCTGAGACTCTTTGGGCTGTCTCCCTGTGACTCTTTGGCTGTCTGCCTGAGACTCTTTGGCTGTCCCCCTTGAGACTCTTTGGGCTGTCTCCCTGAGACTCTTTGGCTGTCTCGCTGAGACTCTTTGGCTGTCTCCCTGTGACTCTTTGGGCTGTCTCCCTGAGACTCTTTGGCTGTCTCCCTGAGACTCTTTGGGCTGTCTCACTGTGAGTCTTTGGCTGTCTCCCTGAAACTCTTTGGCTGTCTCCCTGTGACTCTTTGGCTGTCTCCCCTGAGACTCTTTGGGCTGCCTCCTTGAGACTCTTTGGGCTGTCTCCCTGAGACTCTTTGGGCTGTCTCCCTGAGACTCTTTGGCTGTCTCCCTGAGACTCTTTGGCTGTCTCCCTGAGACTCTTTGGCTGTGTCCCTGTGAGTCTTTGGCTGTCTCCCTGAGACTCTTTGACTGTCTCCCTGAGACTCTTTGGGCTGTCTCCCTGAGACTCTTTGGTTGTCTCCCTGAAACTCTTTGGCTGTCTCCCTGAGACTCTTTGACTGTCTCCCTGAGACTCTTTGGTTGTCTCCCTGAAACTCTTTGGCTGTCTCCCTGAGACTCTTTGGCTGTCTCCTTGAGACTCTTTGGCTGTCTCCCTGTGACTTTTTTGTCTGTCCCGCTTGTGGGCACACCGGTTATTTTGTTTGTTTAATAATTTAATCTTAAACTTAACTCAACGCAAAGATAATTATCTTTTTTATATTTATATACGCCTTGTGAATGGATCACTGTGGAACGCTACGTTGACGACAAAAGTACGCAGTATTGTTGAAGAATAACCTCGGAGGACAACATTTTTGCGTTTCTTTTTTTTCAATAGACGTACGTTTATTCCATCGTCATTCTTTTTTCATTTAAGTTCAGAGTGTGCGTGTTGGTCATCTCGCTGCACGCTCGCTCCGTGCCACCGCTCCGTTCGCGTCCCTCCACGGGTATCTCTGCGTACGATGCGGATTTCTGAACTATTATTTTTTGGCCAAACAGACGTCTCCCCTTTGAAACGTTTGCCAAGCTTGCCGCTGCCCCCGCCCCCCCCGACATCAAGCCCCAAACATTCAACAAGGAAAAGCGCGTATCAACGTCAAAAAGACACGATCCGTACTTTTCAAGTGTTGGCTGTGACGTGCACGGGAGATGTGGAGAATGAAAGTACGATTCGTCCGCAAGGCGATTTTTTCCCGGGAAGGCAAATCGCGGTGTACGGCCGACTCCTCCTGGACTCCTCGTTGGAGGCTGGGAACGCCGCGTGACCTGGTGAGCCCCGATCGGTCAATTGGGAGACGAGACGGAGACGAGGCGGAGACAAGGCGGAGGGAGACAAGGCGGAGACAATACAGAGGGAGACAAGGCAGAGGGAGACAAGGCAGAGACAAGACAGAGGGAGACCAAGCAGAGGGAGACAAGGCAGAGACAAGACAGAGGGAGACAAGGCAGAGGGAGACACGACAGAGGGAAACAAGGCGAAGGGAAACAAGGCGGAGACAAGGCAGAGGGAGACAAGACAGAGGGAGACAAGGCGGAGACAAGACAGAGGGAGACAAGATGAAGGGAGACAAGGCAGAGACAAGGCGGAGGGAGACAAGGCGGAGACCAGGCAGAGGGAGACAAGGCGGAGACAAGGCAGAGGGAGACAAGGCGGAGGGAGGCAAGGCAGAGACAGGACGACGCTGTCTGGGTTCTTCCACGGCAGCGTCATCGCGAGCAGCGCAGTTACAACACCGCACAGCTGGAATTTCGCAGTCAAACACGAATGGTCGAGCCAAGGTGGCGCCATCGGTGAAACATAAATGTTTACCGTGAAACCACAAAACCGCGAGAAGGATGGGTTTGCTGCACCAGTGTAACGTACCGATTAAAAAGCAGATTTATTTTATTGTTATTTTTTTTACTTAAAATCTCATTGACGGTCCTCAAACTACCCGGGGGGATGGCACTGTACCGACGTCCTCAACCAAGGCTGCGCGACAAAAGAAAAACACACCACGAGCACAATTCCGTCGAGCGGGGAACGAGCTCAATCCCAATACGAACATTCACTTTGCATCCTGTCCGCCCACTTCACCGCCCTGTTGCGGAGGTACCACTCCAGGCAGTGCACGGCCACGGGGTCGACCGCCGTGTCGAATTTGTTGGCGAAGAGCTGCCGCTGCCGCACGAGCCACGGCAGGTCGCCCGCCCCGTAGACGCAGATCTGCCTCACGTAGGCGCCGCGGCAGGGCGGGTAGGCCGCCCCCTGGGCCACGTCGCCCTGGAACGCCGACCACTTGACGGCGCGCACGATCGCCGACAGGCACGTCGCGTCGTGCACGTCGTGCCAGGGCGCCGCCCCGGGCACGCCGGGCATCCGCTGCAGCGTCGCCCACAGGTGCTCGTCGGGGCTGTAGGTGTCGTTCGACCACTCCATGAGGGCCCGGGCCGCGGGGTCGCTCAGCACGTGCTCGACGAAGGCGCGCGTCACCACCATGTAGGCGCTGCCGGCGAACACCGGCGACGGGATGGGCGGCGGGGACTTCCTGACGTCCGTGAGCCTCACGAGGTCGCCCTCGACCTCGTGGCGATACTCCCAACGACGCCTCTTGTAGCCCGGGGGCTTCGTCGACTCCAAGCTGTTGGCGCCGCGCAGCGCCCGCAGCGCCCGCACGATCTCCAGGTTGGTCTTGATGGGGAAGTCGAGGCCGCAGAGGTTGATGAAGTACCTCCAGGGGCGCTCGGCGGCGCGCTCCGCCAGCTCGCGCATGCAGTTGAGGTCGGCCTGCACCCGCGACCACGAGGCGTAGACCACCGCCTCCAGCCGGCGCGCCACGAACACGTTGGGGAAGCAGGCGGCGAGGGAGCGCGCCGCCTGCTGGTAGGCCCGGGGCGACTTGGCGTCCACGTGGAGGCAGTAGAGGTTCTGCGGGGCGTAGATGGCGCGCAGCAGCCGCTCCAGCATGTCCACGCGGTGGTGGGCGACCACGGAGTAGGCGACGGGGAAGTCGGCCTCCTCGCGGCTCAGCGGCGAGGCCAGGTAGCGCCGCTCGCGCCTGAAGGCGGCGCAGTCGCGCGTCGCGTTCAGCAGGCCGCCCTCGTCGAGATTCGCCCCCTTCCGGAATTCCACCGTCAGGGCCAGCAGCGCCGCGTTCGAGGCCACGTCGTCGACGTCGCCCCGCAAGACGACGGCCTCGCAGTCGACGGGGAATCGGGGTCCCCCGATGTCGGGCATCTGGAGGTGCCGCGTCGCCGGCGGGCCCGTCGACACCTTCACGCGAATGAAGCTGATGCTGACCGCCAAGCCGACCAAGAAGCACACGCCCAGCGCAGCTATTTTCTTGAACCAGGACATCTCATCGAACGCTCGGCGGCAGCTGCAAACGGCTCCCCGGGTCGGGCGCGGCAGACACAACTGGCTGCTGCTGCTGCTGCTGCCGCCGTCGCCGCCGCCGGGGTCGATGAGCCGAGGTAGAAGGATCCTCGCAGGGCCCCCGACTGAAGGCGCCTTGCGGCTAAGCGCGTCGGATTTGTCGACGTGGACACCACCGCACACCACCCCCCCCCCCCAACACCACCGAGGTGCTTGACCGAGTCAAACGTCCGAGTGAGCAAGTGAGCAAGGTTTGGTTTTCCCTTGTTGCCTCTTTGATTTCTTTTTTTTTTGTCACGGAATTATGAAGAGAGGTTTCATGCGTTCGAGAGCGTTCGGATGCCCGCTACAAACTTCCACGCGAAGATTAAATTGGCCGCTTTGTTGAGCTGCTATCCTCTGCGACGGAACAGGTCGCGTCTGACAAAATAATCTGCAGTAGCTCGGTGAGGTTTTACACCTGGACAGATTAAAAAAAAAAATTGTCTCGGTTTGGTTTTGGAGATTATGCGATGAGTAAATATCTGACAATAGTTTCCGCTTTTGCCCCAACCCCCCCCCCCCCATCTCCGAACCATCGCTCCACCCCCCACTCTTTCTGTCGCCCACATCTGCTCCAGACTGCATTAACACGCACGGTCAAACATTGTCAAATAGCCCGCATGAGCAGCGTCCTGTGGAGTGGCATTCATTGAGCAGTGGATGCGACGGCGTTCTCCAGATCTGCCATGGCTCTACAGAATGCCCGCGGCCGTCTTTGTGGGTTCCATTACTGGAGGTTGTGTGGCTTCTGCGTTTAGAGAGATTTATAAGAGAGAGAGAGAAAAAATGTGTTGTTGGGTTGATGCAACTAACCGGGGCACGGATGATTTGGGGTCGAGGCATTAAAGGGTTTTTTTATCTTTTATTTTGGGGTCATTCGTGGTGAGTTGTTTGGTTTCAAGGTGACTGAATGTGTATCCACTACACACCCCTCTACCGTCACCCCCTCTCTATCCCCTACTCACCCCTCTACCGTCACCCCCTCTCTATCCCCTACTCACCCCTCTACGGTGACCCCCTCCCCTACCCCCTACTCACCCCTCTATCGTGACCCCCTCCCCTATCCCCTACTCACTCCTCTACCGTCACCCCCTCCCCTACCTCTCCCTACCCCCTACTCACCCCTCTATCGTGACCCCCTCCCCTACCCCCTACTCACCCCTCTATCGTGACCCCCTCCCTATCCCCTACTCACTCCTCTACCGTCACCCCCTCCCCTACCTCTCCCTACCCCCTACTCACCCCTCTATCGTGACCCCCTCCCCTACCCCCTACTCACCCCTCTATCGTGACCCCCTCCCTATCCCCTACTCACCCCTCTATCGTGACCCCCTCCCCTACCTCTCCCTACCCCCTACTCACTCCTCTACCGTGACCCCCTCCCCTACCCCCTACTCACCCCTCTATCGTGACCCCCTCCCCTACCCCCTACTCACCCCTCTATCGTGACCCCCTCCCTACCCCCTACTCACTCCTCTACCGTGACCCCCTCCCCTACCCCCTACTCACTCCTCTACCGTCACCCCTCCTCCCATAGGCCGAGTTTGACTTCTATATTTGGAGGGGGGTGGTGGTGGGGGCAGAGCTTTGCTTCGTCCCTCACATTAGGAATCGAGGGGGGGCATATCATTCATTTATTTGTATTTTTTTTATTGTAAGCTACTGAAAATAAATTAATATGCACCGCTCTTGTTATTGTACCAGTAATGCTGGATTGCTCTCCACTTAGCGTGCGCGTGTGCGTGTATATTTATATCTATGTAGAGGTGTTAACTACGCGCTGTTGCGTAACCTGCGTTGCCACCAGGGCAGTGCAGCATTACCCCTGGGTACAACGGTTGGGGTCAGTCGAGGTGAAACGGATCGTGGCCAGGGTTTGGTGCGAACCAATCAGACGGTTCCACGTGGGAATGTATGATTGGTTCTACCTGGCCACGAAGGGGTATAAGACGGGTGACCCAACGGACCTCGGGGAGTTCTCTCCCTGCACGAAGATAGAAGACTGGGCTGAAGCCTAGCTAGGACCCTGGACCAGCCTTCCAGCCCTTCTAAGAGCTAAGGCTCGGCATACCCAGTGGTCAGGACCCACCGGGCCAGCGGTGGGTCAGATAGCCTCCCCTAGGTCCTAGCCGGAGGACTAGGATAGCGGTAGACGTGTGAGGTCCGGAGGTTGTGTACCTCCTTAGGTATCAAGGAGGTTAGCGGTAGACGTGAGAGTCCCGCCAAGTCCGGAGGTTGTACCTCCCTAGGGTATCGGGTGAGGGGACCGAATATCCCTCTGTGTGTGTTAAGCGTTGTATAAGGAAATACAATAAACAGAGTGTGCCTCCTAAAGAAGTCTGCTCGTCCTTACAACACTACATCTATATGAAAAAAGGGAAATTTGTGATGATGTGTGTCTGTTCAAAATGTTTAGCGTACATCCCGACATGCAACAATCTTCAAATTTGCCATGTGGGTTACTTTCCAGACTGTACACCGTGCAAAAATTATTTTTAAAAAAATAGACTTATAATGCAGAGATTTTTTTTGCACGGCAAGTGAGCTGTGACGTCACATCTGTCATGTCACCCGCGCATGCATAGAGCTTAGCGCTACGCTGCGCTAGGAACCCGGCGACCCGAGTTCAATTCCCCGCTCACGGCCACCACCGGTGACGATTATTTCAACCGGTCCTGGGGCTCCCCTAGGTCGACTCAGCCCCAAACGAGTAACTGGTGCGGTGTGTGAACATCGCCACTGGGGAGACAAAGGCGGCCGGGCGTGGTGAATCCAAGTCCCGGGCGAAGACGGGTAGTAAAGCCAGTTCCATATATTTCATAATTTGCCGCCTTATTAACTTATGCTGTATTTTTCGATTTAAAGCTTTCGTGACTGCAATGATTCATCTTCTTTGGTTCTTTCGGTAAAGTCACGTAGAATGAGAATAAAATAATAAATTGATAAAATAAAATAACACAATAATATTCTCAATAATATTCTCAGAATATTATTGTGTTATTTTATTTTATCAATTTATTATTTTATTCTCATTCTACGTGACTTTACCGAAAGAACCAAAGAAGATGAACTTATGCTGTGTCAACCTATACGGTTTACCCCATGTTTTTGTGCAGCGAAATTGAGTTTTCAGGTCCACACGGTGGACAAGCGCTTCAATACTGGCAAAAAAATATGTTTTTTTATCTATTTGTTTGTGTTTCTCCCTTGTGATGGGTCTTTGTAGGATGAACGTTGAGATATATAAGGGGCACGGGGTGACCAGTAAGGTCTGAATTGGTCAGTGATAAGGTAGGGCACTGATAAGGGGTTGATAGTAGTGTAGTGTATAGTGTAGTGGTATAGTGGTGTATAGTAATGTAGTGTATAGTGCAGTGTAAAGTGTAGTATATAGTAGTTTAGTGTATCGGTAGTGTATAGTGTAGTGCATAGTAGTGTAAAGTGTAGTATATAGTAGTGTAGTGTATCGTAGTGTAGTGTATAGTGTGGTGTATAGTAGTGTAAAGTGTAGTATGTAGTAGTGTAGTGTATCGTAGTGTAGTGTATAGTGTAGTGTATAGTAGTGTAAAGTGTAGTATATAGTAGTGTAAAGTGTAGTATATAGTAGTGTAGTGTATTGTAGTGTAGTGTATAGTATAGTGTATAGTAGTGTAAAGTGTAGTATATAGTAGTGCAGTGTATCGTAGTGTAGTGTATAGTGTGGTGTATAGTAGTGTAAAGTGTAGTATATAGTAGTGTAGTGTATCGTAGTGTAGTGTATAGTGTGGTGTATAGTAGTGTAAAGTGTAGTATATAGTAATGTAGTGTATCCTAGTGTAGTGTATAGTGTAGTGTATCCTAGTGTAGTGTATAGTAGCATACTTGTCACAACCCATACGGTTTACCCCGTAATCGTATACAGGGGAAATTGAGTTTTTTAGGTCCATATAGCGCACAGCCGTTTCAATACGGGCAAAAAGTGTCCATATTTTTTTATCTATTTGTGTTTCTGCTTGTGATGGGACTTTGTAGGATAATCGTTGAGATTTATAAGTGCCACGTGGTTAGGGGCCATCCATTTAGTACCTACGCATGGAGGGGGTTGGCGGGGTTAACCCAAATGCGTACGCTTGCGTAGGGGGGGGGGTATACTGACAATGAACGCATAGGAAACTGGGAGGGTAGGGGGGGGGGGTGAAGCCTCGATAATAATTTGTCTACATTGGCCTTCAAATGAGTTAGATAGTCCGGCGGTGGACTATCTGTTTGCTTAAACACGTTAATATTATTCATCCTTGATCGTTTCTGCGTGGATTAAATATCGGCCATTGTATAGGATTCAGGGGGGGGGGTGTTAGAAGTCCGCGTGCGTGCGGGGAGGGTGGGAGGGGATCAAGTTTTGACAGATTTTTGCGTGCGTACCAAATGGATGGCCCCTTGCCAGTGAGGTCTGAATTGGTCTGTGACACACCGATCTACAGCCAAAATTCTTCCGAAATAAATGTAGTCCAACTTTACTTATTCTGGGTCACAGAGAATGAAAATTATGCTTAAAATTGTTGATTGGCTCTAGTTTACACGATATGCTATTGGGTCAGTATATACAACCCTTGACGTGGGAATGGCTGAGGATAAGTGAGTTATAAAGGGAAGGGATCTCAATTTAAACCAGAAATGACTGAATTACATCTTTGGCTGGATCTATAAATAAATCTATGACTGGGTTTGGACAGTTCTTGCTTTTTGAGCAAGACAATGAATGATGCAATCTGAACTTGGTATTTCATCATACGTGACATGAATTGCATCGTGCTATTCTTGGAAGTCATGGATGATGCAATCATAACTAGGCTTGCATCGCTCTGCTGAACAAATTGCCCTAGATCAGCTCTAGCAATCAAACAGTATCGTGTTCTCTATTTGTCAGTATTTGATTTTGCAAAGTGACGGATTTTTGTCTCGCCAAAGTGAGCAGAGATGCTTCGTACTTGTGTGAACAAAGCAGATAACGTCTGCTATGTTTGTGGTGAAGTGACTTTTGCATCACGAAAGAGCAGTATAACCACTATGGTTAAGAAAGCCTATCAGACCTAAAACACGGTAGGACCAACACCTCGGCCG